ACGGGGTCGAGTCTGGGGAGCTAATCGATACATCTCGATACGCGATAGATAGAGTGAACTGTCGTACATTGCAAGTCACGGTCCCACCTTGCCACTGCCGTAGCTGCCACCTCCGCCATAGCCACCGGGACCGTAACCGCCGCAGCCACAGCCCCCACAGCCACTGCAGCCACCACCGCCCCCACACCCACCACAGCCACAGCCATAGCCACCAGCGCAGCCACCACCACAGCCGCAGCCTCCACCATAGCCGTAGCCACCACATCCACCATAGCAACCACCGTGATCTCCCTGCAAACGGGCTCCAACAGTTCTTCAACTTCAAATGTCTTTTGGTTTCAAAATTTTCTGTTTTGATCCTATTCCAATACGTTGGCGTGTGATTGTGACATCTCGCCTTGCCACCATTGCTCCAGCCACCTCCCTTTCCTCCATCCTTCCCTGGCAAAACGGTGCAAAAACCAAGCAAATCTCTCATCAAGTGCTTTCCCACCTGGCTGGCAGGAAGGCAGGCAGGCAAGCAAGCACGCACGCGCTCGCACTCAGGCAACACTTACGTACCTCTATATCTGCAGTGCTGCAGAACACTTTATCATTCATCCATCTGGTTCCACTTGATGCTGCTGTATTGCCAACACTCCCGTAACCCAAGCTTGCACCTTTGGAGGACCTGGCCCAATTCACCTGGCAAATCATGAAATGGTCAAACCACCAGGCCACTTTTCTTGATGTGGCTGCCAGCACCTGAATTGCGTTTGGGGCATCTTCCCGAATCCTTGGCAAACTGTGTGGGACGGCAACACCTTTCCGTCAACCTTGCCATTCTCCTCGTCTGTGAAAGAAACACAATGTCTTGCGTTTGGCTTCATAAGTGCAGGGCTTGTACACCTCAGCTACTCTTATCTGCTCATGTCCAAGTCATGTGTGTTGGATTCTTGGTCATCCTGGACACGAAGCCTTGAAATGCCCCCCAATATGTCTAAGGCAAACTCGGGGTGATACCACACGTCGAAACATGATAAATTGCGTTGTGCCAATAAAGATCTTGGCCACAGGCATTGTTCAAGACCTGCCATCTGAAAGCAAACTCCCTTTTCAGGCAGCTTTGGGCTTGCCTCATAGATTCTTTTATTCTGCTACGCAGTTGCTCTTCCGCAACCATTCCAGATCCTTTGTTCGTGATGTTTTCGAACATCATTGGATAAAGTTGACGCAATTTGTTTACATAATTTGACACGTAAAACCTGGACTTGGACCGAAACAAAACCCCTAAACCTAATTATAGTGTGCCTGTTCATTTTTGGATACCAGGCAGGTGACCTCCTTTTGACAAACACACAAACACAACACACATAATTGACAAAAACGGAAAAACAAACAAACTGATCACTACAGTAGACGGTCATGTATAGCCCAAAAGCACAGTGGGAGTAAGATGCGTATAACGCATGCCAATGCCAGGGTTACATGTTGCCGAACACGAGCGTCCTTCTCGACGACAGTTTGGCGACATCGGGTCATCAAAATGATCGAAGCGCGTGTTCCGCGCGAAATGGTTGCCCGAGCGAAGTGCACATGGACACTACTGTATACCTATATGTCGTCACAACTGTTGATGCACAAGCTCAATTTTGCCTCAAGTCACAGTACTAGTTTTGAACAATGCACGCTGGATCGCATCCGGCCCGGAAAGGGGCATCTCTTGATGGACGCTGACGGGCCACAGGCCTGCCCGCCACCTTTCGTGACTTTCAAAGAAATGTGGCAGTTGTAACATTGTAGGTGTTCTGTAGAAGTGTCGTTGCGGTATTTAAACAGTACAACTACACTGCTACATCTACATACCTACATCTATACACCTGCATCAATCCACCTACAGTAAATCTATCCGGCTACCTCTATGCACCTACATCATTGCACAAACATTTGCAAGCAGGCATTTACACTGCGACATGATGATGAAGGTGACGATGATGAAGGCGATGGCAAGGAAGGTGGATGATAAGGAAAATGAAGTTGGTTGGTAGCTGTTCTTTAAGGAGAACCTTTTGCAGGTGCTTTTGGGGAAAAGGGAAAGTAGCAAATGAACATAGACAAATATCAGAATGAATTCTAACCGATATTGCCAGACTGTGGGCCAGTTTGCTCTTGTCTATCTCGAGGAGCATTTAGTATGTTTCTTCAATTATCGTCATCGTCCTTTCTCCAAGAGTTCTTCTTATTTTCAACCAGTTTTATGGTTTGTTTCTTGCTTGGCTCACTCTAATCAAACACCACCGAGAATCAAGTAGAATCTAGAGGTATGCCACGTCCATGAATTCCCAGCCTCTGGGAGCTACATATATATATATATATATATCAAACGCCGCGCGGTCTACAACTACCTCATGGCTCACGCCCCATGAAGGACCTATGCGGGGGTTTTCTGGTGTTGATAGCATATGCATAGCATATGCATCACATGCATATATCTAAATATATACAGTTTCAACTTCTCTATCATGACATTCTCAACGTGCATGAACTCTGCCGTCAACATCCATCAACAATTGCGTCATTGCATTTCCGAATCTGCACTGCCTGGATTGCAGTGTCGCCAGACTCCCTGGACTTGTACATGACAAACGCCTCAGCTGCATGCTCTAGTCTGGTGGGAGTTAGTTCATCGCAATGCTAAGCCTGCCAATGTCTAAGAGTCCTCTGACACTGAGTCGGAGTCACAGGACTGACCAGTGGCAGATCGGTTTCCTGGCAGATTTCTTGCGACGATCTATATTATACATAATTACGTCTCTTGAGAAGATCAGAGATACTGCTGTGGGCATAGGCACAGAAGCTCTGGCAACACATGCAGGGGCCGCTGTCACCAGAGATGACATGAACATCCGCTAGTTCGCCATAGGTCTTGAAGACCGTTTCAATTTCCTACAGGAGGCTGAAAAGCACATTCATCGCCTAGTGACCAATGCAACGAGCTTGCGACCCAATGGCAGAACAATTAGAGCACTTCGTTTCACAATCTAACCAACACACAATGCAACGAGCTTGCGTCCTCCTTCGTAATGTCAGGCGGCAAGGAGCCGACAAAAAGTTTATGCTCCTGAAAGCAGCTTCGTTTGCCTTTACAGTAAGCATTTCAATGTTAGAAAACACAGCTGCGGTAGTAACAGCTTGAAATTTCAATGGGTCTTTCGAATGCTTTTTTCAAAGTACTCAGACGAGCGACACCCATGCTCTTGGCAGCCACGGGGGTATCCTAGCTACCTGAGGAGCAGGGTGTGTAAATCAGAAACATTTGGCTGCATGCCAGCGTGCTAAACACCATTTCAATGCTCCCCCAAAATACTAGGTGTCCATTCTCAGATCTGCTGCCGTAGAGTTCTGATAAGAAGGATGCAATTCGATGCGCCGCTTTGACTGCAAAAGCTGGAAAGAAACAATGCCAACAAAGCATCTGTGAAGTCTGTGAAGGCCTCCCGTCCCCAGCAGCTGCAGCTGCAATTTTGGGGCCTGGCCCCCCACGGCCCAGGCTTGGTCCAAAGCAGCAAAGACACAGGGCACTTGGAGCAGGCTGATGAAAGTGGACAAATGATGACAAATGTATCATCGCACACTGAGCATCACTGAGCCATGAAAGGCTTCAGCTCTGTCACCGCTTGGTTGTGACATCTCTTCTGCATGCTTGAACATGTTCTGCTGCCCTGTGACACCTCAAGCAAAGGAGATCCAAATATGTAATCTAGCTTTTGGCACTCATAGCACCTAGATGCAGCTATTTTTTGTTAGCTTATCCAGTCTTCACAAATTAGATCCTTCTCGCTTCAACTCATCCATGAAGGGCACATTGTGGGTAAAGCATATGGCATATAATGGAAGCACGCAATTGAGAGAGCTTTCATGGTCCCTAACATCAAGCCCATCGTGGTAGAGCACAACTACAACACAAACACAATCAGCCTTCATAGATTTTGAAGGCTCTCAGAATGATGGATGTTCAAAGCGGAATATATATATATAGTTATATTTGGGATGGGCAAGGCACATCTACATGTCAATGCCGCACTTCTGCTCAGGTCCGAGAACGCGGGACTTTGGACTGGCTGCTCTGCTTATGCTAACTTTGTGGGCTAACTGTCGAGGCTTGGTGAGACGTGAGATGTGGCTTGGCTTTCAAGAGCCATCTGCCACAGCCCTGCAAAATTTGCGTATATACAGATGTGGCACACTCCGAATGGCTCCAAACAGCATGGTCAAACACCAAACCAAAAGAACGCTCTATGCGGCTTGATGAACTCGGGACTTAGGAGTTAGTTACGAGTCTTTTGAACAAACATGGCGCATAACTCTTGAACACCTGAGATTCGACATAGTCTCGACTGGATCCATATGTTAAATACTGAAAATGCCTGGCTGTACGACCTCAGTAAGGTGCAGGTCTTCTGCCATCATTCGCCCAATCGATATAGATGGGCTGTTCACCTGGCGCATCACAAAAAGTGCACCTTGCTACTTGCTTCCTATTGTCACACAGAGCAAGGACACAAATGAACATTGAGTTGAACAATCAAGCAAGCCATCAAGTGGTTTCACACAAACACACAAGCAGGCCTTGTCTGAATCGGTATTTTTGATGCAATGTTTGCAACGCCATGTCAGCCTTGGCAACATGTGCATTTCTAATCGGTCTATGCCAAGGCGAGTGGTTGAATAACTTTTAATGTCATAGGGTGTTCAAATTCCGTCATAAGTGATTCCTCTTGGCTTCGAACCGCCTCAATGTTTTGGAACTCGACCTTGCAGCATCTTAAAAACCAATCACTGCTAGGCTCATCTGTGAAGATGCAGAAGTAGTCGTGTAAGAGATCTGGCACCTTTGGACTATGGCATTGGCATCTGGCCCAAGCTCTGTCACACGCACTCTTTTGTGGTCACCTCTGTTTTCAGCTTAAGATTCTGGCGTAAGCACAGCTCCTATAGTTCTTCGATCGCCCGCAAATGACGTGCACCTGCTCAAAGATAGACTGAGGCAACACACATACACTTCGATAATATGATTTGCTCCTTCGCATTGCAACAGATTCGAATTGTGAAACACTCAGCTTTTGACGTTCAAGCATCTTTCAACACAGGACAAGGACAATTGCTTTTGCACTTCATTCAAGTCGTCACTTACATGAGCGGCCTCAACCAATACAAACCAGCGTTCGCGACCCGCGCCTTGTCCAGTGGGCCATACTTCCCGAAGACCTGGGCAAGCCCACAAATTGTCTACGTCTACGTCAAACACTGAAAGTTCTGATGTCAAGTCAATCTTCATTTCTTTCATGTCCACGCAGCACATTAATTTTTGTCCGGCTCAGATTGAAGATGTTTGAAGAATGCAGCAGCCAACTGGAAGGATCAGAGCTTTCAGCTGCTCTTGATCTCAAGCCAAGGCTTCTTTGACAATCTCAATCCCGGCACTCTCCAAAGCTGCCAAGATTCTGTGGGACGACGGGACGGCCCAACCACAACCTGCAGCAATCGTGTAAGTGAGAGTATTTCCTTTAATTTGGCTGTGATTTAGTTGTGACAACACATTCAAAACGGACGCCCAGCGTGTTGCAGCAGAGCACGCCAGCATGGCAGAGTTGAAGGTGACAATGTCTCGCTCAATGCCTTGACCTTCGAAGCCATGAAAGAGCAGCAAGGCTTCTGTCCACCTGCTCGACTTCCCACACGCGTGAATGGCAGAATTTAGAGTTATCAGGTTCCGTTGTATAGTCCTCTGCTCCATCTCTGACACTAAAACAAGCGAGATCTGCCAATGGCAAGATGCAATTATGGGGCTGTAAGTCACTGCATCCAACTGACACTTCTCTTCCTCCAAATGCGACAATAAAACCAGCGCAGCTTGCCACTGATCAGAATCAGCACAAGCAGCCATAGCTGCTGTGTATGGCACAGTGCTTGCAGCAAAGTTCTGGTCACTCATGTGTTGAATCCAAAAAAGTGCTCTTTGCCATTGTACTTGCTGTCCACACATGGCAATGACATTGGTGTATAAGGCACTGCAACTCGGACCTGAACGGAACTTCTGTTCAGGCAGTTCCTGGAGCATTGCATGCATTGCTTGCATTGCCAACCTCCACATCGAAGCTTGCCCACATGCACCAATTACAGTTCCAGCAAAGGCAGTGTCAATCTTTATGCTGACCTCCTCCAGCTGATCAGAGACTCCTATAGCCAGGCGCCAGTTCTGTCTATTGTTTTTGTCAAGACTGTAGGACTTGATCGCAATTGTGTAAATCACAACATCCGAGCGTATGTGCAGCAAAGCTGCTGCCTCAACAAGGCACAGTGATCTCTTCCACTCTGCCTCCGCACATGCACCCACGGCTGAAGTAAAGGTCGTTATGTCACGTTCCAACGGCATGGCTGCCATCTCTTTCATCATTGTCAATGCAAGTTGCCACTGATGTCCTTTGCTCAGTGCGCTGATGGCACCGTTGCACATGATCAAGTTTGGCTCAGTCTTGACCTCAGTCATGCGCTCAAGCAAAAACTGGGCCGACTGCCAGGCTGATCCGATCTCGCAAGATTTCAGGGCAGCGCTACAGGTTATAGCATTCAGCTTCAAGTTGCAGTTCATTGCATTCCCTAATGCCACCAAAGCCCGTTGCCACTGCTCACCCCTTACGCATGCTGTGATTGCAGCATTGTGCGCTGCAAGATTGGCTCCAAGCCTCTGTGCCACTATTGTGGCAAAAATGTCGAGCGCACGTTGCCAATGCCCTGCGCTACTACATGCGGTCAGGGCAGTAACAAAAATCACAACGTTTGGCTGCAAAGATTGTGGCGGCATATCGTGAAACAGCTGCAAGGCCTTTGCCCATCGCCCCGCTCGTTCCAAAGAGTTGAGCGCAGCTCCTAAGGTCACCAAATCTGCTTGAGCACCGCCTTGCTTGAAACCCTGCATCAATGCAAACGCCTTTGGCCACTCCACAGACTTTCCGCATCCGCTCATCATTGAATTTGAAGCTATGTTGTTCAATCTAAGCTTCTTGGTGTGAAGGTCTAACAGCAACACCAACCCATCCTGCCAGTGTGCATGCTGACTGCACGCGGATATGGCAGCAGAAAAAAGAACTATATTCCGCTGTAACGCAGCAGCGCCAGCTTCGCATAGAAGCTGCAAAGCAGGTTTCCACTGAACACTCTTTCCACACGCGGTGATTGCCTTTCCACATTCAACGACTTTAGCCCATGCTTCAGGGCGCTCTGATGACATATACCGTAACCCAAGAAACACTGCCAAACCAATATAATTCTGGGCTCAGGCCATGTTTCTGAAGTCAACATATCGAGGTGCAAGTCCCAATGTCCATGTCATGCAGGCCATCTTTGGGCACCTCAGGACCTGTGGCTTGGGAACCGCCATTAGCCAATGTACCAGCATGCATGGAGCACAAATGACATTTAAGTAATGATTTGTCAGGCTTCGCAATCAGGAGTCGCTCTGCACACCTAGATTCCCAGACCCATTCCTGTTCGCGTGGGACGGTACGAGATGATCTGTCTGAGGCCACAACAAAAGTTAAGGCATCTTCATCGGTATCGGCTGGCAAATTCCCAACGAACAGCTGCCCTCCTGGTGTTTTGGGCAAACTTAAGAGCTGAAGGGCTCAGCTCCAGTACACTGTGACGACGCAGTTGCCTAGCAACAATTAAACACTTGTTGAGTAAGTCACTTTTCAGGCAGCCCGCATGGTCCACGGTGATTGTGCTGTGCGGCGCCGGGAAAGGCTTAGTATCTAAAGGGGACGAGGTCAATGAGATGTTTTCTTCAACCTACACGCTTTGAAGGCTCATGATGTAACGATGCAATGTTATTGAAAAAAGAACTCAACCATATAAATGTGTTGGAACCTAGTGCCAGTAAATGAAGACATCAAACCACCGCCAAATCAATGTAAAAAGGGTCCAGTGTTATGTCGATCAATGTCAGCTATACATGACCAAACAGGACCAAACTAACATCACATATTTTCTGCAAAAAGCGACCCCTCTCCAAACAAAAGCAAAATGAAAGCAAATGAACATGCGAAAACCATGCACTTTGATGTATTGTTTTGCTTTTTCCTGATACCATTTCTGCACTCATAAGAATTTTTGCCAGTCAGCCATATCCTGTCTATGATTCTAGGACAAAAGCGAAATACGTGGACGTAAAGGTAGACTTACTTTGTTCAATCATTTTTTGCAATTCACTTGCTTTACCTTTTGCCGTTTTTTTTTGCATTGTTTGTGCTGTAAGTATTTACTTTGTCTCATTGCTTCTATGGCTGCCATGGGGAACACAAGTCCAGTGGCGCCTCGATGGCGGCCATTTTCCCAGCCACGTTGCCCGGCGGGATGCCATTCCCCTGTGGGATGCCCAGGTCAAGTGGACACGATACAGCATATACTGTACGATGAGAGTCCCGCATTCTCCAAATGAGGAGGACCCAATTGGAAGATCACAACTGTCTGCCGGTTGAACTTATACAAATCTCTAACTACGATTGCCTGGACTGCAAACTTCGTCGAGCCTCCGCCCCCATGACGGTGACCGTGACCCCAATCTGAGATGCAAATGGAATGCGTTCTGACATCTCTGTTCTTTCTCTCTCTCTCTCTCTCTCTCAGGCATATCATTTATACTTGAGCTGCTGACTGCCCATCCACGCGCTACCCCAGTCCTGCACAAGGATGCTTATCAATTTGGCTACCCCAAGTCAATGCCTTCAGTGCCTTCAGTATAGTATGTACGCATTTCTCCGGCATATGTATTGGACTGCAGAATTGTTTCTTCTGTCTGTCTGATGCATGGCTCAGGTTTCTCTTCGTCGAGCACCTCCATCACTGGGGCCTTACCTTCCTTGCCACCCTTCCCTGGCAGGTCCGTGGCATGGCAACTTGCTGGACACACAAAGTCATGCCTCATGACCACCTTCACAGCGCAAAGAATCTAAAGCATTCTGTTTACCAAAGCCAAGTCTCTCAAATATCTCTCAATTTCAACAGTGCCATGAGTATGATAATTATGGAGCAACCTTGCCATCAACATGGAATGTAAATATGGCCGGCTCCACCTTTGCCTTTGTTTCGCTCATTGGCCCATTCCACCTGTTTTCCAAGGTGTGAATGTGCTGAAGAAGAACTGTACCGAGGCGCCACTTGAAGTCAGGTGAGCCTTCCCCCAGTCACTTGAACCTTTTCTAACAAGGCACAATGCACATCTGCTGCGTCTGTCTGCATCTTTAAGCAAACGCTTTCCTTGTGCCACACTAGACCTCACGCATTCGGAAATCGGGTGAAACTTGCGGTGAAACTCTTGATTGCATGCGTCTCATTTTGCCCTTGCAGTTCTGCAAGTCAAAGCCATTGGCAGCGTCGCCAGTCAAACAACAACAATCCACACGCACACAAAAATATTATATACGCATAATGCGGAGACCGGATTACTGTAATAACCCTCCCCCACGTGGAAGGTCTAGAAGGCCTAGAAGGTCTGAGGTACCATTCATGAGGTCCACATCCCCTGAATAATCTGCTAAGGGAGTAGTGGTAGTCGGTAGTCCTAGTTGTAGTAGTCGTAGTAGTAGTCGTAGTAGTCGTCGTCATAGTCCTAGTCCTAGTCCTAGTCCTAGTAGTAGTAGTAGTAGTAGTAGTAGTAGTAGTAGTGGAAGTAGCAGAAGACGCAGTAGTAGTAGTAGTAGCAGCAGTGGTAGTCGTAGTCGTAGTCGTAGTCGTAGTGGTAGTAGTAGTAGTAGTAGCAGCAGTAGTAGTACTAGTAGTAATAGAAGTAGTAGTAGTAATAGTAGTAGTAGTAGTCGTAGTAATAGTAGTAGTCGTCGTAGTAGTCGTCGTAGTAGTAGTTGTTGTAGTCGTAGTTTTACTAGTAGTAGTAGTAGTAGAAGATAGTAGAAGTAGCACAAGAAGTAGTAGTAGTCGTCGTAGTCGTAGTAGTAGCCGTCGTAGTAGTCGTCGTAGTAGCAGTGGTAGTAGTAGTTGTTGTTGTAGTAGTAGGAGTAGGAGTAGTAGTGGCAGTGGCAGTGGCAGTGGCAGTCGTAGTAGTAGTAGTAGGAGTAGTAGTAGTAGTAGTAGCAGTAATAGAAAAAATCGCCTGATTGTGCGGGCTCGGATTGACTGGGGGGGGTTCTGGTGCCCAACTAAATGATTGAGGGGGAAGTTAGCCACCAAAACTACTTATAATTTGTACAATTGTTCGAGGCTTTGTGGGCTCGGATTAATTAGGGGAGGTTTATTAATCCAATGTTTGCATTATATGTATATGCTTTGTATGGACCAAAGTCACCTGCTCAATGACAAATATGCTAACCATGTCAGGTTTAACCTGGACTGTTTGACTGACTGCCACATACCATCAGTATTCACCCTCCACAAACCTGCAGTCGGTGCACGAAGCTCTTTCATCGGTCACCATCTTTCACCAACACCAAACAGCACACATATGACTGGCACGTCAACGTCAACTGACCAATGCCAATCAAGCTGCCCAATGGGTCCGTAGTCAACGTGTTTGTCATTTGATGGACCTCCGCCACTGACCTGGCCAACTACAGTAGAACATTCAATAGCAATCAACTGCCCTGGACAAAGTCTGAACTTCTCAGCACCTTGAGCGCTTTAGTGCATGCACAAACGGATGTGAACACACACACACACATAAACAAATCTATGTCCTGAGATGGACCGAACCCTACACAAAAGGCTACAGTTGTCTATCAAGTAAGCATGGCGGTGGTGCCCAGGCCAAGTTCACTAGAACTCTTGATTTCTCGAGCCCAGTTCCGACCTTGTCACGCAAAGTCTTTCAAAGAACTTTTTGGGAAGCTTGTGTGCTTTTTGGAGCTGTTTGTCCGCCTTAAGCTTGTTGCTGAAGCAGTCTCAGGACTCTGAGGATGCTAATCTAACTGACAAAGGTCCTTCCTCTGCTGCTAAGTGGCTAGTTTAGCAAGGGAACACACAACTCCATATGGTGGCTACAGTAGCAGGCATGGCCGGCCTGAACCTAGTGACAAAATCTTCTCTCTTTTTGTCACAGTCAAAGGCAAGTTAATAAGAAACAACAAACTTTGACGAAAACCGAGGGGGGACTCTTGAAAGGGCTATGGCGCAGCACTATTCCAATGGTTTGTCATTAAAAACGTGTATAACTATATATTTTATATATAATACTACATCGTTCTGGTACCTGCACTGCGCCCACTCTACAGCAGGTTTATTCGATTTTGATGCCTGGCCTGACCACAGTTGTACATAGAATGGCACGTGAGAACTCACAAATCTTCAATCAAGTGGCCAACTGGTACCTGAGGCCAGGCCCGTTCACCAGCGTGTCGTGGGATATCTGAAATCTCTCCTGCGGGGCGGGCAAAAAGTCATTGTAGCATCTTGTAGCATCAGTTAATCCAAAAAAACATAAGTCCGGTTGTATTTATCAGGCGCACAATTTCTATTTCCAATGTCTCAACACAATTGAGGAGTTTGCTCCGGCACAGCCAAGCGCGATCCAAATAACTGTTCGGCCTATATGCATAATGAATCATAATGAAGAGACTATTGAATATTGTCTGCTCAATATGTTGAAACAACTTCGGGCACCTTGGTCAAGTATTCATTCTTGAAGATGCAGCTCAGCTCGCAGGTGACCACCAAATCCACCCGGTGCAATTGGATCTCCAAGCCGAGGTCGAATTCCATCTGGGCATGGACCATTTTCTAGGAGGATCAGGACTCCGTACAAATTTCAATGGCCAGAACTCAAAGTTGACAGATTGCGGTCTCTGAGTTTGACAGGCGGCTAAAGTGAACTGTACTATCGACGAAGGCGCAACAACAAGCATAAACACCAGCCAAAACGAGAGTAGTTTGATGGAGCGTTCCTCGCGATGCAAACAACCATCAGATTGTCAGGGTTCAGTTTCCACACACACATACACACTGAAAAGGCTCCCGTGCACACACTACAGTATGGACAAGGACTCAAGGTAGGTTTCCCTAAAAATCTAGGAGCCAAGTCATTAATCCCGATTACCTATTAAAAAGGCCGCCCCAAGTGAAAGACAGCACGTCCGAAGCCCTAAGTTCGGCTTATATTTGTTTTTAAGTTACCGCCCTTTCAAGCCGCTAATAAAGTACCAACATGATCAATTTTGGGGGTTAGTTTCTTTTATTAGGTTCCAAAAGCAACCGTAACTGCCCACATCTGTCTGCCCTGTGTATCCACCATGACACGCCGCGTTTACACCAGCAGGTTTTCCTTCCTCCAATGGCACGGACTCACGCAAACGCACTTGCCACCGAGGTCGTGCAAAACCGCATGGCACAGCGACATCACCTTTCAAAAGCTTTGGTAAGAAGAATCAGTATTCTAATAAAGGTTTTTGTAGGGGGAAAAGGAATACCCCTCGATCTGGAGGGTTTTTAATTTTTGATACGAGTTTAATGAATGATGTTTTATAGTTTTTTATGGATGACTTTCTCGAAGCTCTTCCCAGGTGACCCTATTTTGGACCCCCCCGATTTCAGGGACCCCCCATTAAAAAAGTACAACCGAGTGTATCTTAATAGGGGGGGCAGGATTAGTGCGACCCCGGGGGGAGCTTCCTTTCTCCGTCCAGTTCCTAGGAGCGTACTTGCTCCTAGTAGTAAGGCCAGGAGCCCCTAGTAGCGTTCTTGTTCCTAGTAGCGATGCCCTTTGTTCCTAGGAGCGAATTAGCTAGTAGCTACCTAATTATCCTCCTAGAGGCCTACCCCCCCGGTCTTTATCTCAGGCCTTGTTCCCAGAACCTGTGAGATGCACCGGTGCGCTTGGCGCAGGTGCAGCTGATGCTAGCGCTCGCACCGAGAAAATGCCTTGCAAAATCCATGAGCTTTGTGCAAACACATGCCGATAGCGTCCAACCCTTGAAACATAATCCCCGAGTAGGTACTATACTGCTATTAGTTGTGATCTCTGCTCCAAAGCACGGTTCCACAAACTCCACAAAGCCAATCTGCAAGTTACTGCCCGTGTCTTTCAGCTTTCAAGAAATGATGAACATGTGTAGGGAAAGTTCACTCAGCCAAATGCTGTGCCCTTATGCCAAGTTGCCCGAAAAGGCCGATGCACTACAAAGGAAGCCAAAGTATTTGCCTCAATTGCTGGCATCATTGTGACAAAGGCTTGCGATGAACAACACTATGCTTACTGATCTGCAGTTGACAGCCATGTCTATTCACAACAGGGTCATGTCTTTGAGCTCCACCTTTCAAGCAACAGTAGCCTGCAGTTTTCACGATATGTTCAGTCCTGAAGAATCTTGTTGGATAATGCGAGTAAGAAGTTTCAAAGACATACTAAAAAGCTTCTTGTTACTACAGGTGAAACGATTCCTGTTTTGGTGCCTACAAGTGCCGTGCCTTCACCGTATGAAAGCCCGACGAAGACCTCGTGCTCCGGGTTCCAAAGCAAGGAGGAAGGTTCCTCAAAGGCAGCATCAGTGAGTGAACATGTTTATATAAAGCATGCTGGTTAGGAAAGCTTCTAGGGCCGAGTGTTTTTGGCATTGGTTGGATGTCCAATCATGCCTGCCTACACACTTCAGCACCTAGTGATGTCCAGCGGCTGACAGTGCAACTCGTAAACGGCTGATTCCAGAATCTCTCAGAACGTCAGCCTGAAGCACTCCAAAAGAGCGGCTTCAGCCCTGCTCGATCACTATTGAACATGAAAACTGTTCCGTAAAGGCATTTGGCACAAACTTACTTTCGGGACTAACCCATCTTGAAGTACGGCGCACACATCCTTATATCTTGGAGATTCTTGGAGCAATGTGGAGTACCGCAACACTGTAATAGTATAATTAACAACAGGCAACAAAATACTGAAACGCCTTTTCATGCGGCTGTTGGTTCCCTTTCAAACTGCATTTGTTCCGCCTGAAGCAATCGATCGCCAGCACCGAGATTGAATGAACAGCCTTGTGCCAACACCTGGTACAAAAGGAGCCAATGCATGGGCGCGTCAGGGCCTGGGCACTCCTGATTAATTATTCACAAGGGGCAAAACGAGCATGGATGATAAGCATGGTTGTGTCATTGTCAGCGTAGTTGGTGTTCGCATGTGTTCGCCAGCCTTGCTGCCATGGTAGTGGAAGAAGGTCGCATCAATTTCATCCTCATTGCCTTCACTTTCAGAACTCACATTCACCAACAACAGTTGCATCCAATGCCACAACGAGAGACGGCATGACGGCTGTCATACTGTTGGACAGAACGCCCCATGAACCAACCCTAAGAGTCTGAGAGGCACAGCGAGGCAAAGCTGTCGTCTATGTTACCTGCTACCGCCTTTTTGGAAGAAGTTGCCACTACTACTCCCTTCATTTAACGGCCCTTTAAATAATTGTGCCCATGTCGCACACACAGTATAAGGCATATAGGGGTATGTGCGTATATATATATACACAGATACAAAGTAACAGTACATTGCTTGCTTGTGACTGCCTTCCGGTTGCAGGTCAGAATGGTAGTTTTCCAGCATGGCCTGGCAGTCCCACAATGCATCTCCTGAACACCTTTCAGAAACACAAGAACTTCATTAGACTTCCGACTTGGTCTTGGCCAAGTCCAAGTAGAAAACCGCTTGGCAATCTCCTCTGCCTTGGTGTAGTCTCGCACGTCCACATCTGCACTCTTGCAGTTCCGAGGCTTCTTGCCTTCAATGAATGATGGCGGAAGGCCACTAGAATCCGAAGGGTGAACAAATTCAATCAAATACTCTACCATGGCGAATCTTGCATTCCACGCATTGCACCTTTGGTGGCTTTTCCAGAGATAATCTTCTCCAATCCCTCGAGGCCAGGGATTGAAACCACATTGCCTGGGCAAGAGCACATGTTGAGAATCTCAATGCAGTCAGCCAGGTGTTCAATGTTCGACCCACACAGCAACTCTAGCCAATGCCTGAATCGTCTACCCAGCCCATCAAGCATAACCTCAGCTTGCGATGGTAGGATGAGCTGTGGCAAAAAACGTGATAGATTCGTATGGCCGCAAACCAAACTGCTTGATTAATGTAGCTGGGCTGACTACGGGATCAGTAAATTGGAACAAGCCCATGGGTGAAAACAAGGCCGAAGGCACCAATTCTTCATTGCCATCTTGGAATCCTCACTAGGCCTCAACAGCTGAACGCTGCATGAGATGAAGGGAAGGCCGGTGTCATTCCAACCGGAGTCAAGTGTGACAGGGTCTTTTGGGACTAGGCTTGCTGCCTAAAGCAAGCTAGAAGCCGGACAATGTCTGACTTGTCTTTGTCAGCTGTGGCGTTCCACCGCTCAATCAGGCCTCAAGCAATGATGGACGAGACATATTGCGAGAAGCAGCATCTGGCACTGTCGATGATCAGCGGCCAAGGTGCTTAAAATCTCAGTTTCTGAGACAATGGGCAGCTTGTCATAGTTCAGAATGGTTTCCTGAGTGCAACAGGCTCTTGATCTAAGTCTGTACCGGAGGATGTGCTGAAAAGGTTGGTCATGAGACACGCCAAGATGCTACAAAATAGACAGGCAAAGAGCACCATCGAGAGTCCCGTGTGACAGCACGAAACTGGTCTCGGCTTGAGACCATGTCACTCGCTATCCTGGGCCATGTTCAAAAGCAGCCCCGCCAGCCCCAACCCAGCTGACCACACTTTCTGCATCTCTTGCTGCCAAAGCACGTTTGGACGAGAACCTTGGTTGTGAGGTAGCGAATCACTAAGGTTGAACCATGAAAGCCTTCGTCTTCCATTTTATTCACGAAGCAATTTATGTCAAAACACATTGCGAGAATGTTCCTCTGTTGCGCGGTGCTCATAGTGCTGCAAATGGTAGAACCTGCAAAGTAATAATGACCACAGGTTTTCCAAATCAAAAGCCAGAACCTTTAACAATTGAAAACTGATGAACATGGGATGGGCCAAGCTTTGCACGGCTGTTGTTCCAAGGCTCAGCACAATCCACAGCAACTCCTCTTTTAGACAAAGGCACGCATCTGCAAAGTTCAGCTCGCCCACAACGTAGAAGCTCCTAACACTCAGGGCAGCTTGCAGCTCATGTCAGTGCACTGCTTTATTGCTGTCCCTCCTGCCGAAATGAAATGAATCTTGGTCAGCCAACAACATCCGCGCGCAGGACACGCCTTCTTCCGAACCAACTCAGAAGCTTCTCGTACAGGGCATCAACTGAAAAGCGCTCTGCCTCGAAACCTGCACAGATCTTCATGGGGAGGCCCTTCCATTCCCAACAAGAAGAGCAAACAGCTCCAAACACTTGACAAACCAATTGCAGTTGCACCACGGGCGCTCAAGTGTGCAACATGTCAATGTGCACTTTCCCAAGCATTGTGCCATGTACTCATGAAGGGGTAGCTTGGTAGAATGATGGAGGATGCTCAGAATGATGGAGGATGCTCCTAGGTTTCAATGGCAGCTGAATTCAGGCACGTTGCAAATCGCCAGCATCTTCTGGGTCAGGATTTCGTTCGCCTTCCAACACTAAGGATGTGGCCCAACCAGGTCCAAGTGAGCTGTCCAGCTTCCAAGGTGTGCTCAGGCCTTGTCGTTGTGCGCCTCTCCTTGGAAGAAAGACATCTCGCCTTAGCAGTGGAGTTGCTCGGGCCACACGACTTGTGTGGTTTCATGGGTGAATCGGCTGCACTTGCTTCCTTGTCCGGCAACAAAACCTTGCTCGATTGCTGTACGCCCTCAGCCTCCCACCGCAGTAGATAAATCTGAGCAGTTCGGCCATCAGCTCCTTGACACAAAGCGATTGAAGGTTCCAGTTCCAGCTGTACTTGCTCAGCTTGAACAACAGGCACACTGCTCAAGCGCTAGAACAGCGTTAGTAGCTGGGGGATTGGAAGGCCAAGTAGCACAGTCACATTGTATCTCGTATCGCTCCTGGGTGCAGCTTGTCAATTGATTTCCAAAACGGATTGTCATTTGGATACACTAGAGAATCAAGCTATGAGACTGCCATTCTAAAGAACGATTGAACATGCTTCAGCTGCATTGGCAACAACAAGGGGCTGCGAGGAAAAAGGGGTCTGCCCGCTTGTTGGTGCCCACGGTGCCACCAATGAAATGTGCAGTGGAAAAGCCTCAATTCAAACAGTCACAAGCGGGTCAAGCTGCTCCAACTCCCAAGTGCTTTGCCATTTGGTCTAGATCTGCTAGCTCGCATATAATTTGTTATTTGCCCTCACCCGAACACTGAACGTCTTTGAGGTCACAACCTGGCTTTAGCGGATCCTCTCGCTTGCCACCCAGCTTGCTTGCAATTGAGCCGTTCAGGGCCTCAATACATGAAAACACATCCCCAAACTCCAGACCATGTTTAAGTTGAAATATATGTATATAACATATCGTGTATATAAAATTGTGTATACTGTATAAAAATGTATAATATATATATATATATATACTCCGCAACGGCAACAAGCAAAATCATTTGTGGTAGTCTGGCTGGCACTGACGAACTCTTGTAAATCCTGCAGCTAAAGGCCGCAAAAGTTGAAGCATATGCCAGGGCCATCCAAGAGGCAGAACGTTCAATGGGCTGCGAAAACTGAATGGACTGCAAGTCGTCCAGCAGTCTGGTGTAGCCTTCAGCTGCGGAAATCCACATTGAGCTGCTGGGTGGAGGGTCAAGGGACGACGTTCATCCAACATCACACAAAACGCTCCTTCTCTGTCTCTCCTTAATTACAGGTCTAGCCTGGCCAAAAGACCCAAATCAACAAGCAAAACGCGACTCAGCAGCCATGAGCTTTGAAATAGTCTTTGGCAGCTGGAATCTCATCATGGTCTGCATTTCTGCTCATTAGCTTCCCGAACTGTCCTTGTGTATTGGCATTGTGTACATACCGCAGAATGCAAATCAAAACAATGGTTTCATTAGCGCAACATTGTGTAGGTGATTCTGGCAATGCAGTGCGCGATGGATGACTGATCGGGTTGCAAATAACAAAGCAGCCTATGGCGACTAAGCCACCACTTCTAAAACCTAAAGCACTGATGCAAGGCACGGACTTTCCCACAAAAGCCTCCTGATGAATCTAGGATGCCTCAGCCGCATGTAGTCAGTAATAATCACACGTACGCCCTCATTGACCACAAAACCAAGCAATTACATTAAGCTATACAGGAACCTGACAAAATCATCCCTCAATCATCCCTAGTCATTGTTCCAATGCCAAATCACCATGACAACGCTGTTTCCAAAAAATCATCACCAAATCTCCCCCGGGAGCCAGCCCCAATGGAACGTTGATACCCAATCAAGGTTTGTCACCAAAAAACGACCCAAAGAGTGCAAAGACCAATGGAACGCTAGTTCTGAAAGAGTGTGGGTTTGATTGACTTACATCCGCTTTCTGCGTGTCAATCCCAATGGAACGCTGTAGAAATTCTGCCACCAACTTTTCGATCGATTGAAAGAATGTTTGGGCTTTGCATCGAAAATCCAGTTACAGTGTGGAAGCAGCCAAGCAGTGGCAGCAGCACACAAGCAGCAGAACACCAGCAGCAGCACACGAACAGCAGCAACAGGAGGATGATGGCTCTGGGCGAGGCCCGGGCGAGATCCAGGCGAGGTCCAAAACTGCACACCCCCGACCAAAAAATATGCCAAGCCCAGACAGTGGCAGAAAAGCGATACCAGCAAAGCGCGCACTACCACAAACGTCTGGCAGCAACACCCTGCAACGAGAGCTACTGGGAGAGCTAGTGGGGTTCTTATCTCAATATAGGAAGCGTGCCCTCGCTATCTTGGCGTAATCTGTCCAAGTCCACAGGTGTTCCATTGCGAACTGCACTGGCAAGCCTGGAAATGACTGTGTTGCTTCCTGTACCTGTCTCGCATGTATGTGGGAAATTCCTTGTGGATTGTATGCAGGACCCACTGCAGAATAAGAAACTCATTGCTTCAGCAGGCATTATTAAATCCTTATGAGTTGCCAGTACAGCGTTAAAACACCTTTCGATGAGAGCCCCAGCATACAACCTAAAAGTAGGTCCCTTTCCAACCAACAGAGTTCGCTTGTGTTTGGGAAAAAGAGACGACTTTCCGCAGAGACTTCCCCCCAAGGCAGGGTAGCAATCATTCAAAAAAAGTCACGACATTGTCTTTTGCCTGTATACAGTAAGTAAAGCAAATTGGGACTGTGATCGAGTTGCGTGTGTGGCAGCGGAAAAGTGGTCCATCTTTGATATGGATGCCAAAATCGCCACTGCTTGTCTCTTGGAAGATCCTTGGCGATGCAAACAATTGCTATATAAGTACATAGTGATTTAATTTAGCTATTGCTCTTCAAATGGTTCAAGCGTTCATTAGTTCATCGTATTCATCCAACCGAACTGACACAATGCTCATTCGGCAGTTCTCAAACAGCCCTCCCCACCCTGCCAAGTGTCTCCCGGAAAAGGCGCGAAGAGCCATGGATCTGTGCCAAGGCAGCCTGAGAATATCTGACAACACTTCCTTCGTTTTTCTATTGCGAGCTTCCAAACAGAACCGCATCTCACGTTTTACACTCGAGTGTAGACTAGTCACGAAGGAACAAGAGAGGCAGTTTGCAGGTCTGACTTGGGGCTTCATTCTTTACAAAGTTCAAGGCCTATGAATCTGAGTATTGACACCAAAACAGCTCACAAAACATATTCAACTGTGCCACATAATTGCCAGAGTGGGACATAGATCTACATGGGCCGTAGAATTTGACATCGGGTTCATTTCACACAGCAAACTCACAACGCCTCCTGCTTGATTGCCATTTCTGCGAGCTTCGCCCTTTTTAGTTGAGCCAAACATTTCAGCATCGCCATGACATGCTTCTTCTGATGGCGCACCCAGTCTACACGGGCGAAGGATCTCTTCGTACGTGACCATATGTGTGTCAACATTGTCAACGTTGACCCCTTCTTCAGGGCACCAATGACCGAACAACCACACTGCTGGTAACAAAGGGCATCGCTACTAGTAGCAAGGACGCTACTAGCAGCTCCTAGCACTATTGCTAGTAACAAGAAGCTACTAGTAACAAAGG